AATAAAATAAGCTATCATGGCTTATACTTGCATATCTAAACAGAATCATGAAAGCCTGTTGGTAGAGTCAGGCACACAAGTCCGTTTGAGTGTGCCTGCCAGTGTCTGAACACTCACTCACTGCTCGCTATGTAGCTAACTGTCCCTGCTGTTAGGCTACTTAGCTTGCATTGTTATGGATCTAAAGGTAGCAAAAGCTAACTTTCATAGCACAGCTTTTCTTTACTTCTCACTTAACACAATAAAGAAACAGACCAACAACACAAATCGATACTTACATATATTTTCACTTGTAGTATTATAATAATTGAAATGCTGGATCTTCTGGGGGTCTTCTGTCCGTGCTCAGCTACCGCAGCTGCACTGTACAATCGCCGTAAGACTGGGCTGTCACTCAAAAACTGAGTAGCCAATGGGGACGCACCCCTGAAAGTTCCGCCCACCTGGGACGTTTGTGTCAGAATCAAAAACAAAAAATGAGGGAGTGCAAACGCGAGAGCTGCAGCGAGAGCAAAATTCTGATCATTGAGAAAGAAGCAACAAGAACTGCAAACACAAATATATGTTAAAACAAAGAAAAAAGATGTATAGTTTACATGATTACACAAATGATTTGTTTGCAACTTATGGTTTTATTTTTGAAATTACATTTATTTTGCTTGAGTCAGTTTTTTTTCTCATAAACTTAGTTTTGCTTGATTCTGAGAAAGTGTTGCTTTATCTTTATGACACAAAACTAATCCCATACAATGTAAATTTGTTTTATAACATGTACATTTGTTTTATAAAATGTAAATTTGTCTCAAGCTTTGTTTCACACTTTGTAATTGTCGATTGCACTTCTCAGCCACCGTACTTATACCATCAATCACCATAAGCAGTTTTTAGAAATCCACAAAGGGCTAGAGAGAGATACTGAAGTTGAATTTAGGGACTCAAAATCTGTACTTACCGTTATTCCAGCCAGGAATTTCTTTGCAGCATCCCATAAGGAACTGCCTGTACTCTGCTCATTCTTATCATGTATGGAATACTTTATATGCTTTAGCAAATTTGTGCTGGCCTCAAGCCAAAGGTCATGGTCACTGGACATAGTACAAAACACACTGTAGGAAACAGCTACATGAAGATCAAGCAGCAGCTGAGAAATCTGCCTGTTAGTTGCATGTGTTACAGTAAATGTGAGGAACGTGGAACACAAGTGTGTACGTTTTCCAGTTTCTTTAATTTAGTGTTGAATTCCAAAGCACCACGTGTCCGGACACTATGTCCCACACCATCAAAATACCTCTTTGGATTGGCTTTTCCTCTAAACTAAGATGCGTGATTCACTGTGACACCAGAAAATTCCAAATCAACTGTACTTTCCCTCAGAGTTTACTTTTCATCAGGAAGCAGCATCTGAGGTTAATTATTTACTTTTTTGACAGATAACCCACAAACTCAACATGAGTCCCTTCCACACAATCAGTCTATTACTGACATGCAGGAATCATGTGTGAATGGAAGCCGGTATTGATAGTACATGTTATTAAATTGTCAGGGAAAATGCTGGTACGCATGTGTTGTGAATGAAGTGATACCAATGCAGGAACATGCCATAGTTATTCCATCTGACCCAAAATGCTTTCATTGAACCATTCAAAAGTCAACACTGATGACATATCTGCATACTGTTTGTTGACCCTTCTATTCCATCAATGCCATGAAATGTTTAAGAAGTGCAAGGGCGAAATATTCCTGAACGTAGCCTGTGTGAATAGAGAAAAACCTCAGTGGGGGCTTCAAGGTTTTTTGCAGTAATTAACCAAGAACTGTGTGAAAGACGCTTCAGATATGTTGTTATTGAACCTCCACCACAGCAGATTCCTCAAGACTATCCAGATAAATCAGATTATTCCTGCATTGATAGTTACAGTGTGTTTGAATGCTTAAAAAGTGTTTTTTCCGATTTGCAGTCCTTAAGAGCAAATGTTTGCAGTACATTCACCTTCCAAATGGATACATGATTTTCCATCTGTAATATAATTGTTGTAATATTTGTACTGCCATCACAATTAATTCATTTGAATGCTACTCATCGGAAATAACCATTTTTGTAATTGTATCAGACATCTGCTTGGATTCACAATGCAACCGATAAACAGGGAGGCATCTTATCTCTGTGTGTTTGTTATTTTGAACAGCACATATTTTTCAAACCTGTGCTGACCTCTGACTTCCTCTCCTAGGAGATGCCAGAGGTGAATGTGACCTGGTCTGGCGAGGGACCCCGCGCGCTTGATTCAGTCCACATTTCAATCGCTGTGGCCACTGACAAAGGCCTCATTACCCCCATCATCAGGGATGCTGCAAACAAAGGAGTTCAGGAGATCTCAGCTAACATCAAGGTACAACATTTTTTTATAAACCTGAATGTTGTGATATGCTATGTTGTGACAGGTGTCCCCTGAAGCCTTCTTGCAGGGGCAATTTTTCTCATACTTTCATTGCTGTGAGTAGATTATAACGTCAAGGTGCCGAGGCGTTTGCTGTTTACTTTTACGTGGGACTTGACTGCAGCCCAACCGTATGGGAAAAATAACTACGTGTGCATCTGTAGAGCTGTGCTCACCTTCTGGCTGGAACTTTATCTTTTATTTTTTTAAATATCCATCTGATCATGTAGAGTAGAAATCACAATATAATTTCAACTGGATAGATCTGAAGGTAGCCGATTGGATTCATGGTAGTCAGATCTTCCTCAGCTGTTACTGGCCACAGATGGAGTGCAAAGCATCACTGGTCAACTCTTTCTCTCACTCCCAGTCAGCAGCTGGGGACAAACGTTTATTCACATAGATGTGCTCTCGAAATCTAATATGCATGTGCAGACACACACTTGATGATTAGCCCCTCTCTTTCTCATCAAAGCCACACACACAGATCAAATAGAGAATTTCTCAATGAGGGTTATGCACATAATGTCTCTCACCAGCAGTGACCAGGTGTCACATTCCTAAATGCTCACTTAACACTGCTTCTTAACCTAATGACTCAATATCAGCCTGCAGTGGTGACCTCACATTTCTGTCTCAGTGGCAGAAGAAGTATCGGTATGATTGTATTTGTAAAAGTGACAGTACCAATTTCAACTGGGGAGAGGGAGGAAAAGGTGGGATGATTAATTTTTCAGGGAAAATACACATTATATCTGTAAATGTCAGTAAGATGTGTTGAGGGAAAGAGTGAGTGGGTGTTGAATTGCTCTGATTCAAGCTTTTACCGTATGACTGTGCTGTTATGGCGTAACTCCATGCAGAACAGATGTTGCAACAAATAAGAGAATTCTTGTCACTACAGACAATTTAGCCCACTAACGTCAATACTGTAATTTGTAGCAAAACTATTGTGGCAATGATTGTTTAATGGCGTAGTGTTCAGTATTATGCATTTGGATAATGCTCAATTAAATTATTGATGTATAAAGTAATTCAAACCCAGGTTTTTATTTTTGAACATGCATTCTTTAGCAAACTGGAAAATGCATTTCCTGCTGAAAATGCGTGCGAATGCTGTAAACTGTGTACATTTGTTGCTGAATTTAGCTGAAAATACAGAAAAAGTTGAATATTTTATTAGTTGAATGGTAGCTTCTTTTAGCTACAAAAACCAAGTACCGGTAAGTGTGTTGCTGAACTTAGCGGAGAAATGCAGAAAAGTGAAATGGTTTGAATCAAAATTGTTACAGCTCAAATGCATTGCAATGACTTTGTTGGAAACTTGAAAGTGAAATGTTAAACTAAAAGAGTATTAAAAATAGTGAAGAAGCTTAATATTTAAAAGAAAAGGTTTAAAAAAGGTATAAACAACAACATGTATAGCCTTAATGTCCTGAAATGGCTGAATACATTAATAGTTGAATGGTTTCTGTAAGAGTTAGATATTAAATGTAAGTAGTAGTGAATTAATGTGTATTAAGAAGAGAAAATAAAGTAAAAGCGCTTTGAAAAGCAGCAGAATATCTTAACTGCAAACCTTTGAACTAAAACCATACATCACCAATAATGTTATCCTAATCTTTGAAACAAGGTGAACTACAGTGTACATCCTTCTTTAAACTGTATATCTATTTGTATTGGCTCTAGGTGTAATTATTGCTTCCTGAGTCTAGATTGCATCAAGTTTTCATATAGCTGTGCACTTGTCTTTGAGAAGAGAAAATGTATGTTGAAATTTGAAGTGGGAAGTTCCGAAAATTGTAATAATTCTATTCTTCTTTTCGCTTTTGAAATACGCTCGTAGTGACGTACATTTGTTATATTATGTCCTCAAAATCAATCGTCATGACTACATTTTGAAGGCTGTAATGTCTGTTGGTGCAAGGTGTCAACCAACTGCAGGAGACCTTTAAATCACACACACTTACAACATCTGCTATAAAGCATGGGCACTAACACTGCAGATTTCAGTCCACTAAAGCCTTCAGAATGAGCTTCACCTCCCACTGTTTTGAGTTAGAACTACATTGGTGTAATTATTGTTCCCAGATTAAAAAAACATGCGGTTTAAATGAAGCACAGAGGTCGCCGCCTTTTTATGTGATAGCGTGGGACATCAGACTTTCTTTGCACGAAGAGCTCTTATCTCAAATGTGCCCACCATTTCCCACCGTCTCTCACCGTCCTGTGAGTCATTCCTGACTTTTGTGTCGGTCGCGTTCCCGCATTAACCTTTTAAGTACATTTCCATTTGAATAAAGTTCAAATTATATAAAGATGTGGCGGCCACCCAGAAGTGTGGACTAAAAGAAAGAGCTCAGAAAAAAGAGAAGTGTAACTGTATCACTGTTATTAAAGCAATGTCTGTAGTATTGTTGATCCGTGGCACCTCGTTGAATGTTTGGAAAATCTTTATTGTGAAAGTCTAGTGCAGGGGTGTCAAACTCAAGGCCCGGGAGCCAAATCCGGCCCGTGACTTCATTTTATGTGGCCCACAAGAGCTTGAAAGAATATAATATGTTTATTATACGGTTACATGCCCATAAACTACATGTAGCACAATGCATCTCAAATTTGACTTTTTTCTCAGAATTCGACTTTTTTACTTAAATCTGCCTTTTTTTCAAAATGTTATTTCTTTTTTTCCTTTTTTTTCTCCAGAATTTGGCTTTTCTTTTGAAATCCTTTTGTGACATTCTCACTGAAGAGACTTGCAATTATTTGCCCTAGACTTCTGCTTTCAGACGTAGTTCATTATGAAGTTATTACCCTATCCGATAATCATCCAATGCAGGGGCAATAATGTAATATAATACATTATTTTATTATATTAAATATTTATATATGTAATTTAATATAGTCTTATATATAAAACTTGCCCTTTGAGTGCAACCATGATGCCAATGTGGCCCGAGAGGAAATTGAGTTTGACACCCGTGGTCTAGTGCATCAGCAGATATGTTCCTCCGAGTTTGTCACTCTCATGCTCTGTTGCAGCATGGCAGAGCCTGGCTGAAGCAATGTGTTCCCTTCTGGGTGATGTCAATCCCCTTTCTTCATTGTAGCAATGCACCGTCTGATAGTTTCCATTTATCTCAGCGCTTGCTATTGGACATTTCATACATTTCTTCAATAAGCTTTGTGAAAGTTTTCCCCTGTGGCCTTTCACCAAACGTCTGAACGATTTTAAAATGTAAAGGACTGCAAAAAGAAGGATTGCTCTTTGGCCATGCGCCAGCCAAAAGCCGCCTTAAATCCAGGAAAAGTTTCCTGAAGAGCGTCCCACCCCTCGGAACACCGAGCACAAGCAGTGAAAGAGTCACTCGGTGGGAAGAAAGACTTGACAACCTCCCATCAGCAACAACAATGGAGCTAAAGGCGAGCGAGGCACTGCCCCTTGGAGCAGACACCAACACCAAGTGTGGAAATGCCTAAACAGAATAAGATCTGGTGTTGGACGTGCAAAAGCCACTCTCACCAAATGGGGATACCTAAATGACGGGGACGTTGTGTGTGACTGCGGCATTGAACCACAAACAATGCAACACCCCCTGATATGGCCCCTGCTGGAGCAACCCTGCACAACATCGGACTTGGCAGAGTTTAATGAGAAGGGAAAGCAATGTGTTCAGCTGTGGCTGAACCACATCTAACCAAGCCCTGTACTGTAACTGACTGCCTTGTGGACACGATGAGAAGAAGAAGTGTGTGTTTCTGCTTGTATCTGGCTACATCAGATAGAAGAGGCTTGTTTGACTCTTTCACTTTCAGCTGAAGATGATTCAGACCGGGATGTCAATGTATAAAAGAGTATGACCTCAATGTCTGCCACTTGATTCTCACTACATTGGCAGAGAACATGCTGTATTGGGATTAATATTGTATGATATATAAAAGAGATGTGAAATGGCAACATCACCAAGCCTTAGTCAGTCTCTTGGTTGGCTCCCCACTTTGGTTCAGTTGGAATAATCTCAACAATATTGTACAGAGAGACATGGTCTCAAACAGACAATCAATTTGTCAATCAGACAAAGTGAGTAAACGTCTAAGCCCAAATAGTTTTACAGTTTGCCAGTTTATAAACTCATTTTAGGCAGATAAAAACAAGCTAACTGTCTGGTCAATACTTGTCGGACCATAATGACATCTTCAAATCTGGTCCTGTGGCCTATATATTCCACATACGTACGTAGATATATTTTTATAGAGGGAATTTACCTCCTTAATTCACTACAAATATTTTTCATGTGGACACGTGTATTTCTAATACTTTGGATACCAACTGTGTGTTCTCTGTCCAATACAATGTGTGTTTTCTTTTTCACTGTATATATCCTGCAAGTTGTCTAAAATCCTGCTTGGATCTCTGAAACTAAGTTTAAGAGTTTTAATGACAGTGAATCTTTCCATAGGCTCTGGCCCAGAAGGCTCGAGATGGTAAACTTCTGCCTGAAGAGTACCAGGGAGGCTCATTCAGGTAAACACACACATCATCTCTTGGCTTAAAAAAGAGACCTATAGAAAGTCACAAAATAAAAAAAATCATAATATTTCAAGCCACTCCTCTGCGTTATGTAGTATACCACTGTCAAATTTCTCAATTCAATAAACCGCCTTTTCATCTCCAACCCCTTAATTCTATCACACAATTTCCTCTGTAGCTCGGCAGTAAGATTGTATCATATATTTCCGCTATTATGACTTATGACTTGAATCCGGTTCCACAGATAGTTAATATATTATGCATATTCCACATTAAATGCAGGGCCTCAACTGAATGTGATCCTGGGCAAAGAGTACCATCAGTAACCGAGCCATCAATTTCAGAAAAGTGGAAAGGGAGTCTTTACAACTCATTAGAATTAATGGTGTCATTTAGACATAAATGGGGTTTCTGTGTCAGGCAGGAGCGATGAAGTCCTATAGAGAAGCAGCCCTCTTTGTTCTCCCGAGGATATGTATGCCCTTCCTCTATTACTTTTTCCATCCCCCTGAGCTAGAATTCTCATTAAGGCAAACAGCTAACTGCCCTTGGGGTCAGTCTTGCTCACCATCAACAACACAGAGAGAGACTTAGAGCCCTGCGCTGCCGCAATAATCTTTACTGATCTGTGTTCTTTTTAGTAAAGTAAGATTTTCACAGCTGATTATATTTATATTTATTCTCCCCTCAATTTTTGTATTCACTCACATCTAGAGGTAATGTGAGGTTTTTGAATTAAGCGGCTGTTTTAAAAGCCCCCATGTGCCTGTTTTGTTGATTTTAATGCATTTTCTCCCCTGCTGAGCGTGACTAATGATGTAAGATGTTTACTGTGTCTTCCCTCTTCTTTTCTCTCTCTGTCAGTATATCTAACCTGGGGATGTTCGGTATCAGTGGCTTCAGCGCCGTGATCAACCCTCCTCAGGCGTGCATCCTTGCGGTCGGTACCTCCAGGTCCGAGCTGCGACTGTGCGAGGATAGCCAGACCCTGCGCACCCAGCAGCTGATGACAGTCACACTGTCCAGTGACGGAAGAATGGTGGATGACGAATTAGCCTCACGGTTTCTCAATAAATTCCGCAGCAACCTAGAAAAACCACAACGCATGGCCCTAGCCTGAAATATATATATAAAGTGAGATAGCTGTTGGAAAGGGATTCTAAGGTCACAGCAAGAAAAACCTGCATGACAAAGCCTGTGTCATGCTCTTAAAAAGCTAATTCACGATCATGCTTGGATTAAGGCTTACAAAGTAGGCATGTATATAGTGTAAACGTGTGTTGTTTGCTTACTACTGATTTAAAATGACCAGGCTTTGTGATGCAGGAGTTCAATTTGGATTTTGCTAGAGTGGTAGAGGATTCTTGCCGCTGTGCCAAATATAAGGGCAGAGGTGGCATACTGTAAAAGGGGTGGTTTTTCAATCACACCAGTGTTGTGTATATATGAAGAGGTTATTCCACTTCAAGTTCTTTTCTTCAGACCCTTTTCATCTACTCTGTGTCACTATTAATGCACATGCAAGTGGTTCTGCAAAATAAAAATATATGTATCATTGAACATCTGTAGCAATTCAGCTTCCGATAAGGATAAACCAGAATGAACCATTTCCTGCTGTTACAGAATTCATGTTCAAGAACTTAATGATTGTTCATATTATTCATACATGTTAACTTATTTAAAACAGATTGTTTGACACTCCTTAAATTGAATCTCAAGTCCATGTGTATACTAAATAAATACTATCATTTAGGTTTTTGATTTCCCTTAGATGCCAATAAATCACGTTATTCCTTGAGATGTCTCCGTGCCTCATTTAACACATGTTTTTCCCCATCCTCATACACACAGCTACCAGGGAAACCATGTCTGTTTGTGTCTAACTATTTAATTAGAATCTAAAGAGACTACAAAGTCATTATTTCATAGAAGCCAATTAGAATAATTTGCTTGGCTTAGTAAACAGGTCAGTCTCTGCTGACAGATGTTTATCTTTGCTGTAAGCGGGCATAACAGCTGTTTACATAGTTACCCGCAAAACACGGGTGGGCAGAGTTTATCCTAGATGGGCTGTTAGCTTTGTTTTTTTTGGATTAAGTGAAAAGCTGCTGAAAAGGGAAAAGTTTGAATATCTGACTTACTCACGTCTCTGGTTTTGATTTAAATGTTTCACACCACATACAAATGAAGCACAATAAAAATACGGGTGGAGTTAATGCAGTCTGACGAGGCTTGGACATTGCTCTGAGGCGGACCGGGAGCTCACCTGGTAACACGGGCAGCCCATGTACTGAGACTAAATAATTATTATACTATTACAATTTGTCTGCTCCTGCAGCTTTTCACATTTGACCCCTTGTCAACAACTCTGGAAAAAGGAAGTGTTCTTCTGTGGTTTCTTTGGAGTCAAATAGAGTTGTGTGCATTCTCCATCCAGTACAGAAGGGGTAAATATGGATGAGAAAGAGGGGAGGGGGGCAATTGGCAGAGGACAGCTGTTTTCTACAGTGTGCCAACTGTTCTGAAAACCATATGTGGACATACACACCACAGTCCTAGTTACCAAGGTGATGGAAGCTACACTCAAATAAAAAGAAACCAAAAAACAGATCCCTTAAACATTTAAACATCAGTCATCACAATACATCTCTACAACAGTAATCCAATGCTTTTAATGCTTTACACATCTTTTAGTTTTTAACTCACACCATATTCCATCATCCACGCTGAGTCACACTGACCTCTTCCTTCCAGCTATCTCCTCCTCATTGAATATAAATGTATTATTACTTGGTGAGACATGCTCATAATCCAACCGCTGCATCCTATCTGTGTGCACAACTTCAACTGCTGGGAAGAGATAAAGTACTTACCACTGATCAACGTCATATCGGGTCAAATAATGAAATTGAAACAGCAGCAAGAGAAGGCAAAACCGATATGAACACTAGCTTTAGAGCATAAGGAAAAATCCACACACTTTAAGTAGTGTTTTAAGTTGTTTAACATGCCTAGATGAATGGAGGATTTGTTGAAAAATCAAAGCTAATGATAACCATGTGTCCTTTTTTTTTTTTTAAGCTCATTATTTGTCTCATGGTCTTGTGCTACCAAAACCCCCGTAGCATGATGAGATGTTTGTGTTTGAACAAGGCGTCCTTGTGTCATTGGTATGCAATATCCTTAAGGCACAATATTTCTTGTGAATTAGACCATTCTTGCTGCTGACAAGAAACAAATGTCAGTTCTTATATGCCCTCCTGTTCTGTTTCTCAAGATGGTTTCATTATTAGAACTGCCTGCTTTATCCCATTTTGCTATCAGCTTGTCAACTTCTAGGACACAGCAGTTGAACAATGCCATTCTAAATAGTAGCTCTGTGAATGCAGCAAAACAGATTCTGACATTTTCTTATCTTTTCTTTCACAGTCTGACATTTACTTTCCTGACTGCCGCCTGCCAATCTTTCACCCAGCAATCTTGTTATGTGAAACAGTTGGATAAGCGAGCCACCAGACAGAGGAAGTCAGATTGGTTTTGATGAACTGTGCACGAGGCCTTTAAGATATTGCGGGGGCTCTCGGCGGTGTGTAGGTCAGACTCATGGACACACAGCATGTGTTCAGAGAGTGAGGCAGTTGCTATGGAGACCAAAGTGGGCAAATGTGCATTTCTGTTGTGCTGATATTTGGATGTCCTTCAGATCAGTTGTCTGATGAATGTGTTGGTCAAAAAATCAGAAGTGGTCAGAATTCCATGTTTGAAGGGCTTTGACTGCACAAACAATGAGGGGCTTGAAAATAAACCAGGGTGGGGGGTTAGGGAGTAGCAGTCTACCAGTCTGCATCCACCCCTTTCTGTTAGCCTCTATGAATCCCCAGCCATTACTACATTCAGTATCAAAGCTTGGAACCATTTTGTATTAACAGTTAAAAGCTTTGTAATTATATTAAATGATGGTAACACTTTATATTAAGGTACACAAATTCACCATCAACTAGTTGTTAGTTAACATGCATATTAGCAGTATATTAGCTCTTTATTAGTCATTATAAAACACTTATTAATGCCTAATTGTACATGACCATATTCTACAATAATATGCCATTGGTTGAGGGGTTTTCCTCAATAACCCTCTAAATTAGTGCTTATTTATTGCAAGTAAGGAAGTTGTTGTACATGAGTTTTTATGCTCTGCTCAATATGGGCCTAATAAGGCAATAGTACCACAAGAATAGTAATTCTCCCATAATAACCCTTAACAAATATGATCTATTCTTATTTAACAAGACATGAAACTATAATTGTTAATTGTGTCTAAATAACTCAAAAATGAGGTATTTATATCTAAGAACATGTTCCCTAATTTAAAGTGAAGTTGTGTTCATATCCAATAAGCTAGTAGTTTGACTCTAATTATGTATTTCTATCTAAGAATATGTTCCCTATTTTAAAGTGAAGTCTTGTTCATAACCAATAAGCTAGTAGTTTGACTCTAATTTACCTGAACAGGTTCCCTATTCTAAAGTTGCCTCCTCTTCACACTTTGTAAATACATTATAGCACACAACTACTGAAATGTACCTCAACAGAACATGAACAAAGTAGGCACACGTTGAAATATCTGTTTTATTAATGAACCACTAAAGAGAAGTTCAGACACCAAAACATGTCAAGTTTCACCGAGGCTGAGAACACATATGCAGCCTGTACTTTTGAATAAAAACAGATTTTTCAACAGAGTTTATGTATCTGTGTGATTAGGGCTGCTCGATTATGGCAAAAATCATAATCTCGATTATTTGGGTCAATAATTGATATCACAATTATTAAAAACGATTATCCATTTACTTTGAAAACATCCATTTATTGAAAAAAAAAATGTGAAAAGTATGTTTTTAACAGTTGATTACCTTGAACTCTAAGTATAATTCAACTGAAAAACCAATAAAAAAAAAAAATTCGTTTTATTTCGATTATGTTGCTTTCATAATCGTTGCAAGCCAAAATCGTAATTGCGATTAAAATATGATTAATTGAGCAGCCCTATGTGTGACCATACTGTGTGACCTGCTTGTATGAACAACATCCAACAGCCAGCCAAAGTCTTTTGACAGCCATGATGAGCAGCCATGCTCCTTTATTGACTTATTTGCAGTCCACTGACATTCAAACGGAGTGAAACTATAAAAAATAAGTTACAAGGCACTTAATGATCTCATAAATGGAAGTGTAACATACATAGATTAACACATTGGCCCGCTAAGTGTAAACAAGGTAAATATAGAATGCTAGCTGTGCAATAAGCATGTAGCCTATAGGCCTACAGGCTAGTATGGCTAACGCTAGCGCGAATGCTAACACATTTTCTCATTTAGTTTAAACATCTCCAAATGTCATCACATAAACACAATACATGTTACTAATCCTTACAGTGTAAGTGTAAGGCTTACACTTATACTTACAGTCATTGCTTTCTGAAGGGCTTGACCCTTTTACTCTTCAGGCTGCATAGGGGAAATTAGTAGTGTCTACTGCAATGCAATTCAGTTCACTTTCTCATACCTCCTGTAGGCTACCCGGTTTCCTGTCTACCCTTCAGTACAAATTTTACAAAAATATAAATGTGCAAATATGAAACATATAGGTCAATATCACCTTATTATTGGATAGCTGAACTGTCAATACCCCAAAACATATTATTAGATAGAAATACCAACTTTTTTGTTATTTAGACACAATTAACACTTATAGCTTCATGTCTTGTTACATAAATAGATCATATTTGTTAAGTGTTATTATGGGAGAATTACTATTCTTGTGGTACTACTGCCTTATTAGGCCCATGTTGAGCAGCGCATATTAAGACCAAAACTCATGTAGCCTATACAACTTCCTTACTTGCAATATATAAGCACTAATTTAGAGGGTTATTGAGGAAACACTCTCAACTAATGGCCTATTACTTGTAGAATATGGTCATGTAGAATAAGGCATTAATAAGTGTTTTATAATGACTAATAAAGAGCCAATATACTGCTAATATGCATGTTAACAACTAGTTGATGGTGAATTTGTGTACCTTAATATAAAGTGTTACCCAAATTATTATACGTCTGTCTTTTCAAGGAGGGTAGTGTTGGGGAGGAAAAACAAGGACCACTTCATGAATAATCAAAGAAACCCTATTATTGTATCATCTAAATATTTCCCATTTTCATCTGATTTTTCTCTCTCTCTGGGGTCTCTCCCTGTCCCTTTTGATCTCACAGACACATATTTCCCCTCTGTGAACAGGCTGAATGATCACCAGGGTTGGTGAGAGGCCTGCTCTCATCCACATTATCTCACGCTCAAGTTTGTTCAACCATTGTAGACAGGATTTCCTCTGGTCTCCCCATTTTCCCCTGCTCCCAGCACTGCTCTATTCAGTCCTTTTTTAACTGCGAGGCAGACCTTGCTCCCTATACTGTATAATGCACTTCCACTTCCTCCTACTGTGTAAATGTCTTTTCATGTCTTAAAAAAAAATCCCTTTTTTTTAACACTCAACATAAGGCATCCTGTTTGAGTTTTCTGAAACGGATTACATCTGCAAACACTTAACATATGAGATCACTGGCGCTGAACCTCACTGTGCTGACTGAGAGTCCGACCCAGATGGCTATTCAGTGCTTTGTGACACTCACTGACTAAACACACTCACTCTGCTGTCCGAGCACCCGAACACAAGCTAGGCTCTTGGTTTGTTTTTGTTGTACAAAGCCCAGCCTTTTGAAGCAGTCCACTCATGGTACCATGATGCCAGGACAGCTCATTCAGCCTGGGACGACATTTGGGGGGTGAGGCAGAGCTCATCTATCGGCCACATATACACAACAAGTGCACACCCCTTCTGACGACCTCATACAACTCCGAAGAGACCCTAGCGTTTGAGTAAACATAGATCTTCTTCTGATTGACTGTAAAGGAAGTAGTGTCAAGAAGCTATCAAAAACATTGATCTGATAAATACTTAACATCTTACATGTTTTTTCTACTTTGGTTGATCAGAGAAAAATGTTTGGAAACTTAATTTTGTCTTTATCCTCAGCTGATATTTAACACACTATGTCGTTTTAAGCATCAAACCACATCTGTGTAAACACTCATATTCACTGGATGCGAATGATTGATTTCATGTCTCTGCTCTGTACTTATATGGACATCTTGCAAACTCTTCTAGTCGCAAACCAGTCACTGCGCTGGTCTGAGGGAAAAAGGGACGTCACCTAACAGGAATGCTGAGGAGGAGTCATTAGTCAGCCATTACCACGAGTATATCCAACCACAAGAGCTTCTGGAGAGAGCGTATGTGGGCGTCCTCACCGAAAAGCTATCATGGAAAAAACGAGTTCCGAGCTGGATGAGTATTAGTTGACTCAGCAGTCTGATGTTTAATTTAGGCCTCATTCAAGCCCAATTTACAGCTGTTCACCTTCTGTTTTGTTTTTTTTGTCCCGTTGCAACAGCAAAGATAGCAACATAATAACCCTGACACCTTATGATTAGTTGTTAGGTTACAGATAGGCTTTAATCATCTTGGGTTTTTCTTTACATGTTATATCAAAGCCATTTCACACATGAATGAAACATCTGACCGACCACATGATCATGTTCATGCTAACAGAGGCCAAGTTTAATTTACTTCTATAGACTGACAATGATCGAGAGGTTTGTGTATTCCTCCTTGCTCAAGTGTTGACCATAATTCACCTTTTTTATTCTTGCCTACATGTGTGTATGTTTGGCTGTTTGAAAAGAGATTTATCAATCACAGTTCATGTTACACATTCACCCAACTATTCATTTAGGGATTATTTTCAGTTTGTCTCAATGTTGTTTCTCAAGAGAGAGAAACTGGGACAGAGCTTGTTCTGAGAGGGAAACTAAATGAAGGCTGAATAATCATTTTTCATTCTTAGTTGCTTCTTTGGCACTTACACTCTTTTTCATTATCCTATCCCACCCAGAATTTCACTTATACTGTTTAATTGGTTTGTTATAAACTGTATGTTATCAGAGTGGACTTAGTGGATATTTACACTAGTCTTCATATCATAGATAAACTACTATTACAAGCAAGACAAGGCCAACTGTATTATTATATCCAAACACAGGGGGAAATTAATGTGGTTGACAAGAAAAAAACTAAACTGTAACCCAAATATACAGTAGGTACAATCTTCATTGGGTTTCCTATATGCAGACTACAGATGCTTGTTTCTTCATGTTTTGCACTATAAAGAAGTTTTACTATGGCAACAGCTAAAACAGGAAGTGACTTGTATTTGTAGGTTAGGAAGTGTGAATCTATCTGATACTCTCTTCTCTTTTTGACATTTATTACTTGTGTGAACCATGGGTGGGTGGGTGTCAGAAAAGTTAAATGTATCTGAATCTGTGCGTGAAATCATAGCCAGAAGTCAGTACGACAGTTTTAAATCTTAGTCTTTGAGTTTACCAAAAAACCGATCTCTATGTTTTTTATGTCCTTATTTTATCAATCCAAAAAGTAGTTTATTCCCAAACTAGATTAGCTGTTTGAGAAGGGAAGTCAAGTGCTTAGTCCTGATCATCTGTGTGAAGTACATTGTTTGTTTATCAGTTTTGTTCCGCAATTATCCCACTAGTTCCTTTTCCTGCATTTGTCACTATTAGCTGTGTGACGGTGTTAGTGTTTAGGGCTTTGATAGCAACCTTTGTGTTCAGGGGTATATCATGCTGGTGACTTGGCTCTAGGGATGTTCGCCTGTTGGTCACTTGATTGGTCCACCACCTAGGTCAGGACTGAAATATACAACTATTAGATTGTTTATTGGTGTTATTTCTGTATGAACATTAAAGGTTTCCAGGTGTTGCATTCAAAAGTAAGTGATGATAGTTAATAAAGTCTGTTGAAGGAAAACCTTTTTATCTGTTGTCCATCAACAGCTATTTTAGGTTTCAGTAACAGGTTTGATGGAAAAAAATAACTACACGATATTTCACAGTGGTATTCTACTCTTCACCATCGGGTAGCCGGAGGACAGTTGTTTTCTATGATGCTGAACCTCAAACCTCAAGTAAAAATGGCTTTGTAAAATCTAAGTGGCTTTCTGTTTTGGCAGACTCATTATTAAGCCTCACCTTTTTTAACCTTGGCTATCTGATCCCTTGACTCTTTCATTAGCCACACCATGAAATTGAAAAGTTTGCTTTTAAGTCAAATCACAACAACTATTAGATGGTTCACCTCAAATCAGCATGAAAGGTTGTCATTTGGAACATGTTTGTATTTTGACATTAGTATTTAGCTATATTAGCATATTACTGTGCCAAAGTGACTGTAGACACTCACTCTGTTACATTTCCATTTCCTGTGTTTCACACTTCAGGCGTGTATCCGGTAAAGAAGCATATCTATACAATCTCTTTTAATGATTTTTTGTTTTACCCATTACCTTGTATTTCCCAATTTGTCCCATCCTGATAGGCTAAATGAGCTGGAAATTCAGTCATTTGATTGCCATAAGCTGTTGAGTGGAATAATAACTGTGTTCACCTGAAATAACAGGTCACATCTGTTTCCTCATTTGCTGTCCCCATGACAACAACATCACTGGCCATGCTGAGCAATCATATACTGTACAATTGTAATGTGTGGTTACACATATACAGAGCAGCAGTCACACATTCTTTACAAACTAGTTTATTTTAGACATTGCACACATCACATGAGATATGCTAACGTTGGGGGAAGATTCCTGAAACCTGAGATGACTCCATCTGTCACCTGGTGAAGTGAAATGTTAAACCCTGAGTTAAGGGTGAAGAGATGTTTCACATGATGTGAGTTAAAAGGAAGGAAGTTGAGATATTGCAGATAGCATTGACTATGGTTCTCTCTGACTGGGCTCCTAAGCTTGAAGCATAACTGGAACCGATGTTACGAACCATCATGTGTGTCATCCCAACTACATACTAGACAAATGTCAGAAAAAAGCATGGTGAAGCTTGCTTTTTCTTTTGGTAAAATAAATAGATGCTAGACAGAAAGAAGTGTGCAAACATTTCTGTATGTTTAGCATTTGCTTCCATCAATGTTTTGGATCAATACAAACTTGGAGGACGAGGTGTTTCACTTTGAAATGGATGTGACCTCTTTTAAACTGTGGTACAGGATCACACTGAGACATACAGCAATGCAGAAGGACAAGAGAGACAAGAAAATCGGATTAATTGAAAATGGAGAGGACTGAACAAAAGACCAGATGGGCTCTCAGAAACTGTTGCTGTAAGGAACATGAAAAGAGGAAGAGGTGGAGTGGGGTGGGGAGGGGGGCTGGAGTGGGAGACGGTGAAGGAGGGAAATGAGGATAAGCAGCCAGACAGAGGGAGAGATCACCTTCTTCTTTACCATTAATACATGTAGAAGCGAAGGCGGGAGAGAAAGAGCAGTAGAGGAAACTGTGTGAGGTGGGGTGGGAGGGGAGGTGGGGCGAGTGAGGGAGAGGCAGATGGGTGTGTGCTCACATGAACCACTCGTGTCCTTCTGTGTGCGTACCACTGGTCTCTTTCGGGCAGAGAATAGAAAAGTTGGGGCAAAGTCTGAGTCAGCTCCAGCAGCTACCAGACACTCACAGCAACTCCCTCCACAGTGACAGTCTTCTTCTCTTTCCTTTTTTTGTGTACTGCTCTTTCATTCAGTCATTCTCTCTCTCTCTCTCTCTCTCTCTCCCTCTCTCTCTCTCTCTCTCTCTCCCTCTCTCTCTCTCTCTCTCTCTCTCTCTCACACACACACACACACACTCTCACACACACACACACACACACACACACAAACACACACACACACACCACCATTCACTTCTGGCAGAGGGAAGACAGGACCACAGGAGAACAGTTACACACCTTTACTTCCAGTTATTCACCCAGCCATCGCCAGACACTTTTTCCCAGGATGTGGACGCTTCTCTTGGGGGTCACCTTCGGATTACTGGCCTCCTCCAGGTCCGAACAACTTCAAGGTGAGATGACTGTGCCTTTGACTAGCGGAGAGCTCTTTGTTTGGGGATTTTTTTCTTTTATTTATTTATTTTTGTACCTTATTCTGCCTACATTTTCCCCGCTGGCATTTCTCTGATTTATGATTAAGGGACTTTATTGTAATGTGTGTTCCTCCTTTTGAGCCTGTTGAGTACTTGAGTATGAGTAGACAGCAAAAGACAGGCTTTGCTCTACTGCTGCTGCTTGTAGAGTGGATGAGTGGATGCCGGCAAGAGAGCGCGTGCTACACCAGCACAGACAGGCTTACGTCTGGCAGTCTCGTGACAGACACAAAGGAGACTCTTGCTCACTCTCTGTCTCACACACATTTACACTCTGGGAAGTGAACCTTATTTATCATACGTTAGGATAATAAGTGTAGCTTTCACAAACAGGTAGAAGCAGAAATAGAGAGGTATTTTGTTCCCCTTTTTAGCTGTGCCGCCACGCTTGATGCTTTATTCTCTGACACAAAGGATGTTCAGTAATCGCTCTAGCCCCCCTCAATATCTCCCCCTCTCCTCTCTGTCTCACATGTGCTTTCTGTGTAAGGTTTGATTGGATTTGTTGCTCGGAGCGATATTTCTCTGGAGGTGAAGTTGGTGCTGAATCAAACAGGTCTGGGTTCGTCTGGCTTGTTCCCAGGAGGTGTTGGTATGGTTGTTCACAAAGACTCCTTCTGTCTCTGTGCCAAAGAACCATCGGCATCTTGCCATACATTTGACCAGTATTTAAAGGCAAATAAGAGGCTGGTTAAACAGCTTGTATGCGCTGTATGTGGGAAGAGGTAGGAGATGGGGCAACCCCCCCCTCCCTGTGCTTCAACATGTGTTGTGAGCTTTTCTATGTGTGCATTTGTTTGTATATCACTGTGCCTGAGTGTCCAGAATAATTGGTGTCTGGCTAGAGCTGTCCTGTGGTGATTTCATCTCATCCTCATCCTGGTCAAGATGTTACTTGAACCTTAAACCTGTGGATGTTTTTTGTCCAGAGTACATCATTAAGAGCAGCACTCTTGGACTTGTGGCCTGTCCAGCTATGGATTAGGGCTGGGGTTAGGATTATTATTAGTTTAACCAAGAGAAGATTTAGGGGACTGATTTGACCATGCTGACTGTCTGCCCACCAATAGCACACATACACTTGTAGGATTCAACATAGGATTCTTCTGCCTGAGAACAAAATAAGTTTTGACTGGTAAACGGAGTGAAAATGCCCTAAGTGGTATTCAAATTAATCCTGCCCCTCCCCCCACCCAAAGTTATTAAATAAATGTATTTCATCCATTGGAATTCATTTGAAACTATGACCCTGCTTTAGTGTAATAAAACTGAATTTAGTATAATTTAAATGTTAATACTTTGCACTTACATAATTAAATTGTCCATTAGACTGTAGAGTTGTACTATCTGTGATGAACTTTCCAATTTGAATTCATGCTCAGAATGACAACATATGCAGAGCTTTCCAATGTCCAAAGCTCTCATTAACGTTATCTTATTGCGAGCGTAGTGTTCTTGTATCTTTTGAGTTTCCTATAAAGAGATCAACTGCAGATTTCCTCTTACTACCATCACCGTAAATCGGAGTCCTACTTCCTCTAGTATCTCTCTCTCTCTCTCTCTCTCTCTCTCTCTCTCTCTCTCTCTCTCTCTCTCTCTCTCTAATTCTCTTTCTCTCTCTCTCTTTCTCTCTCTCTCTCTCTCTCTCTCTCTCTCTCTCTCTCTCTCTCTCTCACACATACATACATCAACTTAAATGCACTCGGGCCAACCTTACCGCTGGACTTCCTTCAAATATGGCCGTATTTGCCTCCTTGGCGCGTAACGACCCCTCCTGCATGCGCCAGTGTCATGTTTCAAGGTGAGGGGTGGTCAGGGGCCCTGTTGGCTGGGACTGGGCCCTGACAAAGAGGGCTAGTGAGTACCAATATCCTGCCACCTGAGACTCTTAGACACGTGTTTCCCTTCTCTACCATCGCACCTCCTCTACAAACCAACCACCCAAATGGCACCAATATCCTGCACAACTTGTCTGCTCTTTTAATGTTCTTTTCTTTACCCCTAGCCTTTGACATTGATTGAACTGGTCTTAAGTTGTGCAGGGGTGCTTTTATTTCATGTTTTGTCTATCTCTTTGTGTGCTGTTAAAGCTCCTTATTACTTTTTAAAACATTTATGTGAGTTTCATGCTCATAGCCTCTCTAACCCTGTGTTCTTCACCTTATCATATGCCCTAAAGTCTTTGTGTTCATGGGAAAACTGCTCAGAAAGAGCTCTGTAATATACACACATCTTTTTGCATGACTGATTTCCATAGTCACTGTATCATCAGGCATAGCAGCAGATTACATCGGATCTATACTTAGGTTTAAGCAAAAAAAGGAATGTTGGTAGAAGAGGAAGAGGTCCCTTATTGCACAGTACTGCAAACAAGACACTGTGTAGGCTATATAGGTTACCATAAATAGGACTCCTGTTGCTATAGAGAAATATTTTTGACATCTCTTAGTCCTCCTAAGGGGATAAGACGCCCTGAGGGCAAAAGAAAAACGAAACAATAAAATCATTTCAGGAGTGGATGGTCCTTAAGTGCAATATAGCGTCAGCCCTTCTATTGACAGGCCTCTTATGATTGTCCAAGAACTTGAGTCTCTCTAATCTGGCCATTTTATCAAGACTTCCAAGTCAAAGCATAATGATCGAAAGCAGAACGAAACAGCTAATTGGGCAATTTCCCAAGTGTTGTTTCTACATGTCTGTGTATGGACTAAACAGATGATAACACATGGTCATAGCTTCATAAATGCTTCCCAGTTCTTAGCCAGAAAGTCTGTGCCTAAACGACCTATATACCCAATACATTAAAATGCTAAAAGAACAGCCAATGACTAACTTCTGCTGTGACAGGAATGTTTTTACGTCGCCTATATCCTCACATGTTTGAAAAGGATGTTCTTGGTCATATTTCTTATCACATATCACCTATTTGGATCAATTTAAACCTTCTTATTCCTTAACTGAGAGCTTGAATGGTAACATGTATAAAATAGAGAAAATAAACAAGTGCACATGCCTGTTCTTTTTGAAAGAAAGATGCTTCCAGAAAGGTTCTATAAGGGATGTAGGTGAGAGAGGAAATGGCACATTAGAAAGAAAATCAGATAGGGAGAGTCCTTTTCACCTTCAGGTAATATTGTGAGTGTGTGTGTGTGTGTGTGTGTGTGTGTGTGTGTGTGTGTGTGTGTGTGTGTGTGTGTGTGTGTGTGTGTGTGTGTGTGTGTGTGTGTGTGTGTGTGTGTTCACAAATATATTTCCCCCATATCTCAAGTTTCACCTGTCCAACTGGCCCAGCTGCCCTTTGTTGTGACCAGCGGAGGGAAAGACATAACTGCTGAGTGGGCAGCGTCACTCAGGTGTGATAATGCAGGACACTGGAGCATTGTGGGAGTGACGGGCGACAAGGGCTCTCTCTGAACCAGCTGATGAACTATGGCTAAAAGGACGTTACGGTAGTAGTGGGACGTAAACAGCACGCTCTCTGTTCTAGCACAGAATTCCGCACCACATTATGGGAACATTTTTTAATAAGGTGTTTCTGAGTAAAGAGAAAAATGCAGATAAAAGATCAGTAGGATAAATAATCCGATATTGGGTGTTATTATTTTCAACATGTACATACTCCGCATACTATGATATACTATGTGACTATGCTGTGTCATGGCTCTACAAAGGTCGAGAAATTATCCGCCAACGTTCAAGTGCATCTGTGTGTTTGCACACCTGCATGTGGGGGGTCATTTGGACTTTATTGCTGCCGTAGACAAACAGAGGGTAATGAGAGAAAACAAGCGAAAAGAAAAGGGAGGAGGTGAGGCAATAGAGAGTCAGGCTTGTCTATTACTTGTGGTGCAGCTGGAGGTTCTGGCAAGACGCTGTGTTAAAGCTCCCTTTCTCCCAGGTTTGGTACACCGAGACTATGCAGTATCCTTGGTTTCAACTCTATTAGGTGACAATGGAGCCATTGGGAGAGACAGTGCCTTGGCATAGCATGGCTTCTCAACTCTATAAAGACACCCATGGCCATTCCCTCTGCATACTAATGATTGCGCCTCAGATTCATGTCGGTCCCCTTTTCAGCTCACTGACGGTAAGCCGCCTTTGATCCCAATGTGCAGGTTTGCAAGGCCAGGACCGTCGTCTTGTTATTCACCCCCTTCACTTTCAGGGGATACTGTGCGTGTGTGTGTGTGTGTGTGTGTGTGTGTGTGTGTGTGTGTGTGTGTGTGTGTGTGTGTGTGTGTGTGTGTGTGTGTGTGTGTACACTGAAACTCCCTGACAAAATGTTGGCACTAACTCTAGTTGTTCAACTGCCACAGCATAAAGCTCGACTTCCTGCTGTTGCGAGTGCTCTGTTTACTCATAACAACCAGTGGAAAAATACTGGGGACTTTTTTTTTTACCATAATCTAATCTGTTGAAAAAAAGTTATCTACTTTTAACCCATTTCTATAAACTGTTTATGTGTGGTTTGTATTCGTCCTCCAAGAAAAAAAGAAAAAACAGTTTATCAGATGATATATATTTTTATTTTCCTTTATGAAAAAAGTATGAAAGTTCTGCAAAATGTATTTCCTGTACAAGGTATTTAGTTGTGTGACTTTGCATGAAAAATCTGTCACTTCCCGTGCATCTGTCACCATGGCAGTGCATTTAAAGAAGCAGCAAACAGGTGCTTGTGTCTGCAATAGTATTTATGTTTTGTTTTTTGACAGACCTTCAGTAGCTTTTCTTCTACGAGAGAGGAGGTCATCGAGATTTCACCATAGTGACAAAGTCACAGTTAAAAATGTGTCCCATTTCGCAAGACTCTTCCCAGGTGGTGTCGCTCTCTTTCATTCTCAATGCAAATGATCATCTGCTCATATCAGGAAAAAATCCCCCAGGGTTTAAACTCAGAAAACAGTTTCTTGCCAATTCCAACCATAACATTGTTTTTTTTAATGGACATATGGATTTTTGAAGGGGATCTACAGTAGATGTTTGCACATACATATGCTTCCTGTTCATGTTCAAGCTGCTAGGCCTTGTTAGACATTTTTGTTTTCATTTCATTGAGGGAAAATCATTTCCCTAAGGTTCCTCCTTTTGTCAAGCAAACTTAAGCAAATGAGCTGAGCATCACATGTGAGACACTTCGTGCACCACTGTTAGGGCAATGTTGGGCGGCATTTTAATAAGGCTAAACTTGTTAGCACAATGGAAACTGACTGAAACGTTTCCTCAAAACGTTTTTTATATTTATTTGCGAGGAATCCTAACAACAAAATGAAATAAACATGTTATTCAGTTATTAGACTGACCTGGACAGTTTCCAATGTCATCCAAATATAGCTGTAGCCAAATTCAAAGTCGATCTGCGGTTCTCTGTTACTGCCTATACATCATTTTAGTCTTAACATTATAAGTTTAACAGAACATAAGCAATGACACTCCCTCACCCTACAGTATGTGTACATAGTGATGAATCCTATAAGACACTGAGTCTGTATTTTCTTTCTTTCTCTGTCCCAACAGTGAATTCCCGCAGCTGCAGCTTTGCACGGGTATTTCTGGCTGAGGGGGAGAGCCGTCACGCTCTGACCTTTGGCATGGCTAAAATGGTGTGTGAGCAGCTGCAGAGCATCTTGGCCACTCAAGAACAAGTCCAGCAGGCCTTTGATAACTCCATGCAGACATGCAGGTGAAACTACAAGCCTTTCTTCAATAAGTATTTTTTGATTAAATCATTTTAAAGATTATTAAATATATATTTTTGAATTCAATTATATAAAAGGAAATACAGGACATTTATGTTGAAATATTTATGAAACCCAAATTCTCAAGAATGAGCCATTTCAACGTTTTAACTTCTGGAACTTTTGGTATTAAATGTCAGAGGGAAAATGTTATTAATAATCAGACTTCATGATTAAATCCCACAATTTGACTTCAACTTTAAACACACTTGGGGGTCCAATATTGCATTTTATCAGGAAAACCAGAAAAGAGGAAGAAGATGTTTCAGTGTTTCAATACGGATACCCAATTGTTGTCATGTGGTAGGCATCCCTAGACTTCAGTTACTGTAAACTGTTCTTCAAAATCTTCTCTACTTCTCTACATTTCTGAGCAGTGTGATGTGTGATTCACTTCAGTTTTTAGTTTGAGACATTTTTTTTTAGATTTTAAAAATTACATTCTGCAACACATATCATAAACTGTGCTACAAATCAAATATGTGTCAAAATATGAGTTTTAATAATAATATTGTTGTGTCTATTTAGGAATGGCTGGACCAGCAATATCAGTATTGCCATCCTCAGACAGGACTCCCATGAAAACTGTGCAAACAATACGACTGGCCTCATTATTAATACATCTGTAAACACTGATGATTCTTATGATGCCTACTGCTATGATGAAACAGGTGACTTAATCCAGAGGACATCAGTTACACTGCATCACTGCAGTCTAAATCTGATACACAAATTACACAGAATGTCCTTTCAATTTACGTGATCATTATGGTAACATCTACTTCCTGTTTCCCTATGTGCTAGTTGGGCCTGAGAAGAACTGCACAAAAAGATTTGTAATAAAAGGTTAGTATGATGTAAGGATTTGCCTCACATTATTGTGTTTACATCATGTGTTGTTTTGTTACAATATATATTAAAGATTTGTAAAATCTACAGTAAACTGAAAAACTGAACTAAACTGAACCTTGGTCTAGTAACCAGTTTATCCCACCTTTATAGATAAAACCAACATCAGCGCTCACTGTACCACAAACTACCTCTTTTTTTTTAAACTGCACAACCTATATCATATATTAACAGCAGTAACACTTTGATTGGTCTCATTGCGACTTTGAATACTGCTTAATGCTGTTTAACATCCTAAAGAGATATTTCGGAATTAAATACAAATTATTTGTGAATCCATGGTAAAAAATGTGTGTTATATGTTAAACATTTTCATAGATTTGACAACTTTTACATTAACACAGTCCCCTTCTAAGAGAGGCACACACTCCTGCTTTCGCAAGAATAAGGAGCACTGTCAAGTAACATTACTAAAACACAATAGTTTTAATGTTTCAAATCTAAAAATAGAAGAGTTAAATATCATGATGTTGAAAATGCATCAAGCAGGATTTATTTTGCACTTAATACTTATGTAGCACTTGCATCATGACATTTCTGTAATGCATTTCTCTACGATCTGACAAGACCTTGTTCAGTTCATTTGCTTCAGCCGTATACATATTGTGATGTAATATTGTTATTGTGATACCCGTGCTTAAGATTGTGAGACTGCACAGAGCACGTCGGAAGGGGTTAATGCTCTCACAAAACATATCAAAAGTAACCTGTGACCGTAACCATTTATAACCATCTCTATTCTCCAATTAGCCACACCAGAGCCTCAGGAGTCAACAACAGAAGGCCCGGAAGAGACGACTGCAAAACCTGAGGATGCTTCTGTCAGTGAGGGTGGGGACCCCACAGCAGCCCCTGGGGAAGATGCTCTTACTGAGGGGTCTGAAACAACGCTGTCAGACTCCACTACTAGTCTAGAAGAGACAGAGACTGCGACTGAGGGCCCCGCCGTGGAAGAAACAACTGTGGAGTTCGACCTTGGATCTGGTATGATGCTACCTGAAGAGGGAAAGAACACTCAGACGGCCCCTGTTGGAGAGTCTAAGTATACACAAGCAACCACTGAAGAGGGGCATGATGGTAAATATGCCACAATAGAATGTAAGAAAAGCACAAGCACAGATCAACCATAACTGACACAAATATCCTTTTGTTTACCCTTTATATATCTGAATATGAAATGATATAAAATGCAGATACTTGAGCTTTTAAATATTAAAACTGTACTTACAGCATGCTGTATGCAACAAGTTCTTGGAGGACTGAAGTAACTTTAAAACACATGACGCCCCCTTGTGTTAGATTGAGTTGTGGAATGGATTTATTTAAAAAGAGACCGCAGTGATTTTGCCTTTTAGTTGTATTCACCACGAGTTGAGGGCCTTACAATATATATATAGTTCAATTTGCTGATCAAATGATTTAGAACTTGAGACAAAAAATTGCTTTAACATCGATCATGTGTAAATAATCATTAAGGAAAAGCAACTTATAATGTAGCTTGCAGTATGTTTTGCCTCAAAGCCTGCAGCTTTAAAAAGAGATTAACATGCATACACAATTAAAGGCAATTTAATTAAAAAACATCCTCTTCGGTATCAATTTGAAGGTTGAATTCAGTGTTTCGTTTTCAATGCACTCTTTATGTTGATGCTGCTGTGTTTAAAACGGCCGTGGGTTTACTGTATCTGGAATTATTTAAATATTTAACTTTGTTGTATTGACTTTCAGCTCAACCAGAACAACCAAATCCTAGTGGCAAAGGACGGGTGCCGGATCCTACTGGCTCTGACCAGGGCGGAGATTCATCAAGTGAGGAACCACATTTCCCATACCTCTAAGACTCTGAAGGCCATAGGGATTTCAATCAAATAAGACCATTTTTGGACAAGTTGACTCCTGTTTTGATCCACTATATATGTGTTACTGACTCAGCTTTAATACTCGACTCAAGGCTTGTTATTGCTCCCTGCAGACTGGCTGGTTATCCTTGTAGCGATTGTTGCAGTTGCTGCTATTCTTTTCGTGTGCGCAGCTGTTGTAAAAAGAAAGAGGTATGTCTTTGATAATTGTTGTTTTATCATACACTAATACTGTCATGTAACTTGTTTTGGATATAAACAATACTGTGTTTTACTGTGCAGAGCAATCAATAGTCAATTTTCACATATTTCGCTGCAGACTGGGGAAGGGCAAAACAAAAATCAATAAAAAATGAACGTCTGATTATTCTCTTGCAGTTGGTGTGGCAAACAGAAGACCCTGATGATCACGTCCAAAGATGGCGGCGAGGGCAACGGTGCTGCAGCATCAGCATCCAGCTCGCACGCCCAGGAGAGAGAGCAGGAGATGGTGACCCTGATGAATAAGGAGAAGATCACAGAGAACGGCAACACGGAGGAGTTCACCGTCATCAAGCTAGAGGAGTCGCCAGATAAACAGCTGGCGTGAGAGAGTGTAGAAGCAGACGGGGAAGAGTAGGGGAGGATGGGGAGGGTGGAATCGGACGGGGGGGTGGGGTGGGGCTCCAAACACTGGGGGTGAAAACTGCTTTTGTGGCCAGCACTGGATGGACACTGAGTAATGGTGTCTGATATTTAGAAAGATGGTCCAAGGGAAGTACACTGGGTGTGACTTTCATGTGCAGCATTTTGTGTGTCTGGTATGCCAGGTTAGTGAGGAGGACTGAATGGCGGTTTAGGAGGGTCATTCACTGTGGGGTATCATGCAGGGTGTGTGAATGTGTCTCATGTCTCTGTGTTTAATGACGGGATGGGTTTTAAAGGGAGGGGGTGGTGAGGGTCTTATGGAAAACTAATTGTTGACAGACTCTTCTCTTTGTTTGTATAATTGGTTATTCCTAAATTATCTGGCCTTTTAGCCTTAATGGGAAATAATAAATAGTTAATGAGTGGGTTATTTTTGTTTGAGATACTGCAAATAGAAAACACATAATTTTGAGCAAAACAATCCTCAATGTTTTATTTCTTTGATTGATGTACTTATTATTGTAACCCTGTGTATATTTCAGCCGTGCCTGTGGACTAAAGTTTTTTTGTTGTTGCCATTTTCAAGACAAATGGTGATGTCACCACCTTAATTTATGCAGCTTTTATTCCCTTTTTCTTGTTCTTTGTATATAAAGTGTATGTTTTGCCTTAGCAATAGCCACCAGTGCTTTTTGTTGTTTGGTAGAAAGGAGGCGTTGTATCCCTTTTAAATAAAGGTTGTGTCATGTTTTGAGAGTTATTTAAATAGAAAAACAATACCTCAGAGGTAATCAATTGTAAATTGATTTTTGAAATAGTCAAAGTGGAGTGCATATTGTAAGCGAGCATCCAAACAGTACAACGGGTGGAAGTCAGTTAATATGGAATGATTCATTTTGGGTTGGAAATATGATGAAATTAAGTCCCTAATGTTATCCTGAGGATAAGTAGAATGAATATGATAAACTGTATGCATACTATATACACAGTGTGTACATTGATTGAGGAAAAAAAGAAAGAGCAAAATAAATAACTGGATACATGAATCATTTTTTGAATGCAGGGTTAAAACTGAACCGTGATAGCGGCCTAGCTTTAGATGCTAAACTGCATGGCACATATGATAATGGGGGGCCCATGTGCCGTAAGCAATGTAAAGGTTCCTTCATAAGAAAGGGGCTGTGACAGCATCGTCTATGTGCTCCAGAGGGGGGGGGGTGGGGGCGGGGGAAAGAGATGAATGAAGCTTGCGTGATTGCCCATGCCTCAGTGTGACAGTCTCTGTACATTAAACATGTAAACAAAATGCTGCAGTTTTTCTACTGACCTTCTTATTGGTGAAATGTATTATTCATTGTGTCATATCGCTATTATTGCTTGTATGACTGCTAATTATTACCGGTTTCAGTATGAAAATGCTGCATTACATACAACGTTTTTTTTTTTTTTTTTTCTGACTTGTTCTTGTATTTTTCCTGCTTTTGCTCTTTTGATTTGTTTGGAAGAGAAGTAGCAAATGTACTAGTTTAGGCAGGTTTTAAGAAAAATTAACTAAAGATGTCGCTGAAAAGATTTGTAAAGTCATGGACAAAAATAAATGTGTATAGAGAAATATGCAGGAATGTGGTGTGTTCAATTACTGATTGCTCTGTATGTGTGAAGACAAAAAGGAGTGAGTGAATGGCATGACAGTGGGAAGCGAGTGTACATTGCTGCCACATAGGAGGAAGTGAAGTTTCCATGGCACCGGGGTCGTGATGCGAGAACATGTTCATGTGGGAAACAAAGACTTAGATAAAGACGGCCATTTTGAAAGTTTCCCATGGCATAGAGTGTTAAACTGCATCAAGCTGTCTTCATTGACCAACTTTGAAGAGAGCACAATTGCCACTTATTTAGCATGCATTCAGAGAACAATGTGCTCAATCATTAAATACTGCTCTCAAGCTGCTCAAATGCAGTGAGGCAATCACAAGGGATTCATATAGAATCCATTATTCTGATTCTGATAATTACTGATCATTTTGCAGTGTATTTTCAGATTTTGCATTAGTTTATTTGTTTATGTGAAGATTCAAGGATGTATACAATACTAATGGGTATATATTCACAATCAGAAAACACGACTGTATAGAACTACATTACACTCAGCTGACACTTTTATCCAATGTAACTTATCTACTCTTCAATACTATTGGCCATGCCTCAGTGTCTTGCCAAGGGAAACTTTGACATGTCGTCTACTGTTTTGTGTGTCGACAACAGCTGGGGATCGAACCACTGACCCTCTTATTGGTGGACTTCCATTTAACCCCTTGGCAACATCCGCCCTATATAAAAAAATAAGCCTTTTTTCAAACCCGATTGTGCCAATCTTTTCATAAAATGCTTATTTTACTCTTACAATCCTATAGATACTATGTTTTTAGATGTATTTCATTTGCATAAAAAATAAATGCTTGACAAGTGCATTATTTCTCAAGTCTTAAGTTCTAAACACATAGGCAGAATCCTCATTGTAAAAACTATTTCAGAAATGTTTAATGCCAAACTGGATATCAAATCAAAAGTAGTATTCCTAATAATGGTACGGCGTCATACTAACTCTTGCTTCCATTCAACTGAACCGCCACTCGCACATTTCTATTTTTAGAGTTAATATTATTCTATGTCATATGTTATGTTTTCCTAACACCTCCCAAAAGTGTTGGACACGTCATTGATCCGGCTATTTTGTGTGCAGTTCATACATTGTGGTCTGAGAGAGCATAATCAATGTTCAGATATTTTTGTTAGCATCTCTGAAAGTGTTGATAATTACTTGTGTCTTTGGTGGCTCTGGGGATGGAGCATAAAGGACAAGGGTGACTGGATATGCTTAAAAATAGCCAATGAGCAGTTCATTGTCCATTTTCATCTATTCATCATCCCCTACCTCAGTAATCAAAATGATTATAGATGATATTTTCCTGAATTATATTTTGCATCTATTAATGCTATTGATCAGTTTGGGAGTTATAATTACACTAACAGCTATATAACATGTATTTCTTGAATCATGTGAGAAGATGTAAAAAATCACTCAGTGAAAAAGCCATTTAGTTATGAATCAACATTTATTAGTTATATTTGTATATGTACACCAAAGGTACAACACTTATTGATATGTAGAAACAGATTTTTTTATGTATACCATAGACCAAGTAAAGAATTCTGTATTTTTTTTTTGTCCATTTTTTTCTCAATATTGTTTCTCCCCCACACATACGCTCTCTGCCTTTACATCAATATTACAACAGCTTTACAAAGAGGGAAGGCCTAGAAAAGTAAGATCAGGAAAGCACGTTGTAGGCAGGAGTGAGACAGTGAGACATCAGCTCTGTTTGGGAGTTTCTTCAAAAAAGACACATTGCAGTAGAAAAGGACAAGCTCAAAGATAAACTGGCTTTTTGTTTAAAATACTGTCAATAATTTTCCATTTTATCAGTGCCATTTAGCTCGGCAAGTTCCAGGTGATAACGTTTCTGTGTAGAAAGCAAAGAAAAGGCAAGTGGAGTAAAGGCAGTTTACCGAATGCGATTTCTAAAAAAACATCTATGATGTTGATGGCACGCCAGAGGTCGAATGTGTGAAGTTGTGGCATGTAGACAGAGTAACAGAATCTAAAAGATCTATATATCCATGTCATGCACCTGGTAAACAAAGGTGCCTGAGACTAAAGCAAGTTTCTTTCATTGAAAAGAGAAAAATGTTTCAGATGAGTGACCTGAGGAGTGTTGCTCTCTAACAGGCCTCTGAATGCATCTAACCACTAGGCTATATTTGATTCCTCACTCTATCCTACATGCAGGGCACATTTGACCTTTTCCTTTGTATTTGTCTCTCTTTTTAGAAACCTTAATCACAGTAATTCCCACCAAAATATATTTCATGTTGGCCCCCTTTTTTTCAAACCAAAAACATCCCCTCGCTATCTTTCTTTCTTTCTATCTTTCTTTCTTTCTCGCTCTCTTTCTTTCGCTTTGTCATGCAATCAGTGTTTGCGTCATGATCACTGTAATTTCAGATAAATTCTGCATCGCCACTGAACAGAACAATTATATATTTATTTATGTACAATGAAAATGAATGCACACTGCTTATATCTCCATGGAACAAACATTCAAAACGCTTACATTAGATGAAAAAAAAGATATTTATAAATTGGTGTGTGACAGGTAAGTAAAACAACTAGTAAACAGCTATTAGAGAATAAAAAAACAAGCAATTTATTACACGATTTCCTCTCTATACATTTGTCTAATCTAATTTTACTCAGGACATAGATTATATATTTCTTTCTAGAGGATTACATAAAAAATGTCACAGCAATGAAACTATATTCCTATTTACCATTTCAACGCCCCCTAAAATAAATCAAAAGAAAGAAAAAAACATCTGTTACCTACAATATATACACAAAGTGCAACGAGGCACTTCAAATATCATGCTTTTAAGATAGTGGTGCAAAAAAATAATCATCATTTTTATTTAATTCATGCTTTTAAAGCCGTGTGTTTGAACATAATAGTGGTTCAACACTCAATCCCCATCGATGGCACTATACATTGTCTCCTCACTGGAGAGATTCTTTTTTTCTTTTCCTGAACATCACAAGGTCAAAAGTTCAGGCTCAGGGGCCTGTTGAGGTGTCAGTGCTGTGCTCTGCAGCTCACCGATTACAAATGTAGTGACTTCGAGGTTTAAGAGTGTTTTCTTGTGTACATTTGAAGAAAATAAAAGTGAATGTGTGTGTGTGCATGCTTGTTTTTGTGTGTATGGTGTGCGTCAGTCTGTGCAGTGTTTACGGCTGAACGCCAAGCGCAATCTTTGTTGTATCAAAGCTTCTGTTAGCCGAGCTTAAAAAAAAAAGTGTTTCAGGGAACTAAAAGACAGAGTGCTGCGCTAATTGTTTTTGTTAAGTTCCCTACTGTTACTTTAATTGGCATTTGACGTTGGCATTTGTTTGAAGTGAACATCTTCAAGGCAAGGTTGTCATTAAGCACAAATAAAAGGAAACAAGACAGGAGAGAAGGACACAATACTGATAAAGAAATCAAATCCACCCATATCACAGAAGTCTCACCTCTTATGCACATAAGCTTAAAAAAATACAAAATAACAGCCAGTAGTCCAGCTTTGTTTCTGTGTTTTTTCAGCTATTTGGTTCTATGAGAGGTTTTGTCACTACCTGATAATTGTGGAATAACGCATGTGAAGTGTCTATTGTTCTGTTCTGAGTTTCCTGAAAACATCTTTGCACCCATATGGACGCACAGCTGCAGCATCTAGGGTTGTAGAAACAGTCTTGAGCTCTGGTGGTTGAATATATGGTTGTTTACTTTTTATGTCTGGCTAAACAAGAAGCTGGAAGAGCAAGATCACTGATCCATCTTTGTTTGTGCAGCCAAGATTCCATCTGACAGCTGAATGCTTCTTCCTCTGTTTCTTAAAAAAAAAATTGGTGGCTCACTTTATGTACTCTGTCAGTAATATCTGTGTCTGTGCTTTCTGAGAGTACTCATGTTGAGGATCGATAAACCACTGGAATGTGTTTGAAATATGTATATGCGCTTCCTGTGTGTGCTTGGAAACTCCCTTCCCAGTATATTATCATATTATAAAATTACACTTTTTCAACAATGCAGTAAACTGTCAACCTTTTCAGAGTCAGTGCTTTATAAACTTGTGCTTTAAGAAGGCCATTTTAACGAGGCTCATTAGTGAGCAGGTAAACATTTGAGGATTTAAATATTTTATTTCTGTGTAAAAGATTTAATAAGCCTGAGTATCTGCAGTCCCTTATTATGTTTTCAACAGCTGACATTTAACTTGGAATATGATCAGTATCGACATGAAAGGGTAATGTGCCTGACTTTGATTATGCCACTGACTGAACATGATCCTCATTGTCTTCATTTGTGCTCTATATATAATCTCTTTTTTATGCTTCTAATTATTCAGATTTGTCAATTCTTTTTTATTGTTTGTCTTGACAATAGTCATTTTGGTGCTAATCTTCTTTTAATTTCATTGTCATCACAGATATCTTTTGGCAGTGATTTCATTAGCTTTGAGGGTCTGTCAGAAAATGTGGTAATATCATCTTCAGTGCCAGTCAGTTTTAAAATGATTCTGGAAAAATGTGTTGTGAGTGACGTCATGGAGGCAGTTCAAAGGCCTCAATGAGTTGATTGATTTTCTGCCTGTTTGGTCCCTATAATTGAATTGGTCATGTTCTTAACCCCTGCTCTCTTTATCTCCTTCTCTCTCTATTACTCACAAACACACACACACGTTTTACATCTCACTCAACAGGTGACATAAAGAAATAAAAGTCCCTTTCCTTTAGAGTAAAACAACTGGGGGATAAAACATGGCGTTCGTGGTATAATTTGTGCTTTAGAATATGACTGAGACTGTGCTTGTAGATTACGAGGCCCAGTGTGGCCCCCTACCCTTACAGTGTTGTGCTGGACCTCAGACATAGAGGCTAATATTGGGCTTATTCAGTCAGATGCACTTTAAAATCTCTGACAGTACGAGAGTCAAGATTGGTGTACAAACGTCACGCTGGTTGTCATTAACAATGCTCTCACTCCAACTTATCTTCTGTCATTTGAATAATAAATCGCCTGAATGAAACTTGAAAGCTAATCTCAGGACTTCCCATGCTACACAGCCACTTCCTCTCTCCTCCTAACTCCTCCCACAAATGTAGAAATGAGATGTATTGCTATGGGAAGCCTATCTTACGTTTTTTTTTCTCTTCCTTCCCTCCCCCAGCCTTGAAGTATGTTGTGCAAGTATATGCTAAACGGACATAATTGTGCTCTAAGTATACCTCTGTTATTATTTCACGGTTAAGTGAATTAGTATTATATATCAGTCAGATAGACAGTTACAAAAACTTTCAAAGGGACTAATAAAAAAGAAAACTAATCTACATAGAAAACAATTAGTAGTTCTGTTCGTGTGACTTTTTTTTCATTCACTCTTTTTTATCACCAGATGGGAAAGCTTGTGGAGCCCAGGAGCAGGGGATCTCTGTGCTGCCATTATTCATGTTTCCATGGTCCCTCCTCAACAAGCGTGCACTCCGCAGCAGAGCCGTTAGTGGCTGAGGTTACCTGTAAGCAGTTAGCAGGGAAAACTAAAACACTTGATCCAAGGCACTTCAAAAACACAATTCATTTCTAATTAAACGTCGGATCAGAAATAACATTGCATTGTTAATTCTGTGTCTCCTCTTAGTTTCAGCCAAGCAATGTGATTGGTCAATCAGGTTTACAGGGCTTATATAGCATGGTTAACTATGATTTATTACTTGCTGTCCTAAAAAAAACAAATCTTTATCAATCAATTCTACTTAATCCTGGTTTTAAGTAAAGGTAATTAAATAACACACGACTGTAATAACTTTATAAGGGTAAAACCATGATACCATTTATCACATTATTTTTCTGTTTTTTTGGCTGCTGTAGCAATGGTACTCTATTGCCTCTTAGGAATCATAGCAATTTTGCAACATACAAACATTAATAAAAAAACATTATTAGAACTCAGTAGGAGCTCTGATGATCATGCTTATGGTAGTCTTAAGACAGAGGTTTCTTTAACTGAACTGGTAACACACCACACATAAATGATGAACAAAATGCCAGAAGGCAGTAACACAAAATAATAATACAATGGATAAAGGCAAAAATAAACAGAATACATTGAAAACAAGGTGCAAACACTGCAGTATGAATGCATTGTTAGGTTGTTAGCCATCAAGCTCTCTACTGTCTTTGGAAAGGGTTAGAAAGTAGCCATGCTATGTACAGGCAAAACAGACCAACAAACAGAAAATAGTCATTGTGAATACTGGAAATAGCAAGCCTTTGTGTTAAATGTCATATAGACTCGGAAAGGAGAATATGATTATTTTTTTGATGGCCAGACTAATTGTGTGCCAGGTTGCCAGCGTTGCTAGGCAACACCTTACATCCTTTAATAAATGAATAGGCTCATCAGTAGACCTTTTCTGCCAGGGTGTGAGTGTCAGGGAACCAGCACTCTGAACTCCCATGTATTATTCTAAAAGCCTGGAATACATTAAAGACCGTATTCAAAGTGCATTATGTTTTACATTACGGGAGCTACTTCACAGCTTTCCATTTCACAACACAGTTCTCACAATGGGCAAAAATAGCTGGTGTGGAAATTATAAAAAAAACCTGACTGGGAATGACTCACTGACAGCGTGGTAGATGTGTAGGAAATATATGAGCTGCTAATTATAACTCACACTTTCCATCGTGTTTGAAATTATACAGGAGAGGGTAAACGTTTAGGAATAAACCTCTTAATAAAATTAAAATCAACTACATTTTAAAGATTTTTAGATAAGGCAGTATGGACTGCGTTCATTAGACTGAATCAAATGGGAGGAGAAGAGAAAACATTGAATGAAAACCTTCTATCAAGACGTTATGTTTAAGAAAAGGATATGGTGTGAATGTTTGATAGATGGGAGGGCTGCTAAATAATTCCTCAGGGTCATGAGGAGGATTATCTGGCTCTGCCCATTCAATTAGAGCCAATACCCAACAGGTTACAGTCATCCGATGAATCTAACTATAGATCTGTAGGTATGCACATAATAATGTTTTAGTACGTTTAAACCTTTTGGCTGTACATGTTTTAGATGTTCATTCAACACAAAAGCTGCTTTTCCAGTAGAATGTAATACATACGTGCACATACATTTGTTGTTCTTGAGCTTGATTTCATTCTTAAAATAAAATGCATTGTGAGTGTATTCCCATTAATATGTACAGAGATGCAATGAGTAAAACAAACAAGAGTGCTGAAAACATGCAGGGTGAGCGTGCGACAACGGTGAGGGTTATATACAAGTCTCTATGTCCGTAAGCATTAATTGTACCTTGCATTCATCTACTACTACTTCTACAGTATTGTTAGCAGTGGCAGTAGCGGTTGTGCTAGTTGTAGCTGTAGCGGGAGCGGTTTTGACGCACTGGTTGGAATTGTTTTCGTGGTGGTTCTTCATGTCATCGTAGTAAGACTGGGTCTTCGTCATTTCGATGTCGTCGGATTTGGCCGTTTGTGCATCCAGTTCCTCAAGCTCAAGCTTGGACAGGTGGTACACGATGCCTGCACCGTAGGAGTCACCCACCACGTTGACTGAGGTCCTGAATCGATCCCTGAAGAGAGAAAACACAGTTTAAAAAGATGGTTTTCTACACCTTATCATAAAAGGGAGTTCTGTACATAGAAAAGTAAACTAAAAGAATATCAATACGTAACTACAACATAAGTGTTAGGGAAGGATTCTCCTAGATATCCACCATTTGCCCTTTGTCGTTTATGACCAACCGTGACGTCTGTTATCTCCCTTAAGGAAAGGGGTTGCTTCAGCCATATGTTGTTGTTACCAACAATGACCGGGCAACTCTCGGTCACAAATGGTTTATTGTTGTGGGTACGCTGGAACACTTCCTTCTTGGTGCTTTTTGACTCCAAGGTGTGAAATCTTCGAGGCCATAAGTGTCTAAGACGCAAGTAATTCAGTGTTCCCAGCTGTTTAGTCTATCTTCTCAAATATGTTGATTACTCTCTGTGAACCAGTTAAAAGGTATAGCGAGAGAGAGGCTCTTCAGAATTGACGCGGCCACTCTACCGTGCAGTCAGAACCTCTGACTCCAGATTTGTTTTGTGAATTCTCCGGCCGAAGCTCCTAAATAAACCATTAGAGTTTGACATCAAAGCTCCAGCTCTCCCCGTGTCTCCTTCCTGAGTCGGTGACTCCCACTGCATTGTTACACAGAAGTTTCTCCCACAATAAGCATGTGTATTTTATAACTCACAGCAGCCAGTCAACAGCAACCAGCAGACTGATGTCTTCGGTTGGCAGGCCTACAGCAGTCAGGATCAGGAGCATAGTCACCAGGCCAGCACTGGGAATACTGGCCGCTCCAACACTGGCCAGGGTGGCAGTCAGACTGAATGAAGACACAGCAAAGCAACAATCAATCACATTTTCACAGCCCACTTCACCTAAGCATATCCTCCACAACCGACCCTACGCCCTGATGCTACTCCTCAGATGCCAATGAACATGATATGGTCCACTCCACACAGCTACAGATGAAGATACGTATTCTCTATGGTACTTATATAAAGAGGAGCCGCTGAAGAGAACCAGAGAGGCTGCTCCATCACACATGAAGAGAGGTTTAAATGTAACAGATGGGATGTTCAATTTGAGGGTTTCATAGATTGATATGCCATATGAATGTCAAGGTGAAGGTCATGCATCCTTGACTCACTCTATTAACAGAAGAGCATTTGGGGAAGATAGTTAAAGATACTAGGTTGATGTCATTCATTCTGCTTAGCTTGAGACATGGCAAGAAAAGATGTTTTCATTTCCTCATTACGGTTTATTTGCTCCTTTGTAAATCAAATCTTTGAAGTTGTTGCTTTGAGTAACAGAGGATTTTTTGTTCGCTGTTAAACCTCCCTATTCTGCTGCTGGGTTTTTCCTCATTTATTAAGAGCTAACTGTGTTTGCTAAACAGCATCCTCAGGGCTCCATTTAAACCCTCTTAAAACTGTGGGAATTGCAAATCTTACTGTTATGACCAAGCATAGCTTTTTTTGATCCACAGTTTTTCTATTTTAATAGCAGGATTGTTGAAATATAATAGAAGGTTAAATCATTATATAACTTGTTTATTGAGATTGTATTCATTGGCTTTTAACAGTGCAAAAAATAACCTATAAAATATGACGTGTTTGAAGTGTCTCCTGACCTGACAGTGATAATCTGACCAGGGTCAAGGTAGATGCCGTTCATTTGGGCGATGAAGATGGCTGCCACTGCCTCATACAGAGCAGTTCCGTCCATGTTGATGGTGGCACCGACTGGGAGCACAAAGCGAGTGACTCTTTTGTCAATACCTAAGTTCTCCTCCAGACAGCGGAAGGTGACAGGCAGTGTACCAGCACTGGAGGTCAAAAGCAGAAGAAGGTTGGTTATACTGTGTTTCAACTGAATACATATCAACAAAAACAACTAGCTATTCATTTTGATGCTGACCTAGAGGCTGTCCCCAGGGCGGTGATCCAGGCCTGGAAGATGCCCAGGAAGAAGGTATAGGGGTTTTTCCTGACAATAGCAAAGTAGATTGCAGGCAGGAAGATAGCTCCGTGGATGATGAGGCCAATGATCACAGTGACCATGTACATGCCCAGCTGTCTGCCCACCACCTCAAGGTCCTTGATGGAGATGATCTTACCACAGATGAGACAGGCAATACCGAAGGGAGAGTACCTAGAGAGACGATGGAACTTTAGTTGTTACTAGTAATTCAGAATGACAACTTTGGCAGGACACAAATTATGTCTTTCAATAGCTTTAATCTTTAAAAATGCTGTAATGTCTTGAGAAATTACTTTTCAGTTATTTCTGACTCATTATAGTTGAGTTTTCAAATGAGTTTCAATGAGATTCTTAAGTGATACTAACCACATGATACAGATGACAAGTTTCATCACAATCTCATTGAGGATGTTGAAGAATTCAAGCATGAGCCTGGCCCTCTCTCCCATCTTGCCCATGCAGATGCCAAATGCAATAAAGAAACCAATCAGACCTGTGACAGAAAATAATAAATGTATCAAACGTTGAATGTCCGCGTGGACAGGTGCGTTGACTACTACATGAAGAGTTTATCATTAGGAGAAGAATTTTTAACATTCACAGCTAAAAACATTAGGTTTGTCCACATGTTTTCAATACTGTTTATATTGCTTTTACTTGTTGCCATGCGAATAGCTTGGCCCTAGGAACAGCAATGTGTGTTGGTTGGTCCACCACTTTGGCCCAGACAGAATATCTAAATAACCATTAGATGAATTACCATGAATTCTTGAAGGGATATTAATTGGGCCCAGAAAATGAATCCTTATGACTTTGGGGATCTGCTGACTTTTTTTAATATATTTGCAGAATAACAACAAAACTAAACATATGCAGATCAGCATCACCTGATGCACATTGTTTTGTGCTTATTAGCAAATGATATCATGCTGAAATGCTATTATTAGAATGGTGAACATGCAAAACATTGTATGTACGAAACATCATGTTGGTGTGTTACATACCCAGAACATTCATGCCACTTTTGAACTGAAGGGTCTTTGAGACGATAATCAAAGGCTCCCTGGTAATGTTAGCAACCAGGCCTTCCATGACGGTTGCATTGACATCCTCAACGAAAGGCACCTCTGTCTTTTTTGTCGTGGTCTGGATCTGAGGTAAAGGATGACAAAATAAAAGGGATTAGTTAGATAACCAACAACACCTAATTCAGATATGATGTTCCCTGTGACTCAAGTCCACTCAACTTTCTGTACAAGCCCACCTATTTCCTGACGATCAAGCTTCTGAGACTCTCTTGATATGCAACAAATACATATTATATATATATATATTCCATAATAAGTGACTGCACTCATCCAAGATTCGCAGTGACATCCAGATATCACAGACAGACTTTCTAAGTATTTAGCATCTGACAGTCAAACTAAATATAAGTTTTGTGCATCATCTTGTTATTGTCACCCTCCATTACCTGTTGGAAACAAGCCTGCACCAGATTTTCTGGGAACAGGTTCCTGATCAAATCAAAGAAGGCATCCAAGCTGGACACATCGTCGTTCTTCTCGCCCTGGCCCAGATTTTCCTTCAGTTTGGGGTTGCCAGGGTGGATAACCAATACAAGGATGACTCCCAGGATGGCAGCAATAACCGTGGTGGTCATGTAGTAGACCATTGCCCTGGTGCCCAGGCGACCGCTGGATTTGGCATCCAAACCGGCCAGACCTGTAGCCAAAGCAAACAAGATGGTGTTTAGTTATCTGCACGTGTTGAATAGAAATGTTGACTTAATACTTTGGGCAAAGTCAATTACTGTAGGGGTTGGCATAATGATATTTGATCATGTGCATTATGCAAAACATATTGTATTACATGCAATATTGTCATTTTTTATTTCAGTACTTTATTTTTAGCTGTTGTATTCAAACTCAACTGCACATGAGCTGCTCAATCATATCACCAACAGTTAATAATGTTGAAATGATCCAATATCTATATTTTTTCAGAAGTCATTATTTATACTCCACCTGTGATTAAACTGGAGATGATGAGTGGCAGGATCAACATCTTCAGCATCCTCATCAGGATGTCTCCAGGAAAAGCGATCACCATGACGATGTCTGGGTGGATCGGGGAGGCCACACGGAGCAAACACCCAAATACAGCTCCGAGGATCACACCTGAAGTGCAAGAAAGAGTGTTTGTGAATGAAACTGCAAGCGTGTATAACAGCAAACTAGAAAAGAATCAGGAATGAAACCCAGTGGAAAATCACATATTACAGATTGATATAAAAAAGGAATCCATTTCATATCGGTGTATTATGTTCAAAAGCTACACCTTAGATATAATCAATGAAATAGTTAATAGGCTTTAATTTTCTCCTTTAAAAACTCTTAATAATTCTCTCCTATACTGCCAATTCAGATGTTAGGAGCTGTACAATGGGCTGTCTGTTTCATGCTTAAAGAGGACAGTGGGTTGGGGAGATAAAATGGAAACCTGCTGAGAGAAAGTAAAGCTCACAGAGGATTAAGATCAGATCTCTTTGAAGCAGCAGGGAGGAGGCAAGCATGTCAGATTCCCTGGTAGAGCATCTGTAATCTGTACAAACCCAAAATGTTTTTGAGGATTCTTTTCACTTTGTGTTAGGTTAACAGACTTATACAAGGATTTAACAAAAAGGGGGGACAAGAGAAGAAGAAGACAGTGTCTTTTGAAAGACCAGCCCCCTTTTTTAAAAGCCGCTGTTGACCCTTGAATTATGCCACTTCCAACCAAGGGTTCTTTTCCTGCCACCCAGTGGTTCTGTCCCCCAACACTAAAGATGACCACTATGTGCTCCAACACCCCCCACTTCCCAGTCCACTGGGCTGGGCAGTGGAGGGTGTTGGAGTTGGCGTTGCTGTTGCAGTTGGCCTCTGCGTCTGTCCATCTCAGACCACACAAAACTCCGGCTATCCCCCCAATGGCTGCACTTCCTCTGCCACCACATCACTGCCAAAGGTCACACAGGCTGAGGCATTGTTTAACAACACACACTGGAATGAAGAAGCCTTCCAGCTTGTTTTTTTCATATAATAAGCTGTCTTCTGTGGTCCAGTCTAGTAGCATCCTGGGGATTCTGCACACCCAATGACTTTGGAAGGCACTTGATATCCTGTGCCTTCTCTTTGGCCATTTTGCAAGTTCCCATTCAGACTCTTTTCTGCCAAGTGACAGATGATCAATGATCATGCTGGCTCCCTTGCTTCGTGAGAGTCCTGCCAAGTGGGGTGAGATGTACACATTACAGATACTCACACAAACACACAACCATTTCAGTGGGACCCAGACAGACAGGGACTCAAATCCCTAAATTAAATATTCACATTTATTTGTATACAGTTTAAGAGGTTCATGGCCGATGTTTCTTAAAGGAAATAAAATAATGATACAATTAGGACACAGTTTAAATGATAAGTGTGGGTTAAACACACATCTGATTCAGGGCATATTACCAGAAAATGTATCCCTTCTTTTGTGCCCTTTCCTCTTTTCATTAAATCTCCCCATGTGGCGCAGTGAGCTATTACTATAATCACAATATTTTTTCATGCACCACCGGAGGCAGTTTGGATGTCTAGTGTCACAGAAAGCGTTTGATAGCAACAGGTGGCACAGAGCTGGGGAAGGTCAGGACACCCAGTCATCTCACTGCCTGCTACACTGAACAAGCACAGATGGCATCTCCTCCTCAACTCACAGAACATTGAGCTCAGCGGTGGTCGATCTCCGTCTTTAGCATGCCCTGTTTTTTTTGGTTCTTAAAAAAGAACGAACGGAACAATAATAAGCCAACAACAGGATAACTTACCGAGGATGGTGAGTGTGAGCAGAAGGTTCGTGCACATACTGGAGCAGATTTTGGCACATTTGGACTGAGGCCTGGCCTCAATGGGCTCCAGGTGACTCTCGTGCATCCTCACCTCGACTTGTTTAGGCATACTGTTGGTACTGTGAAAGAGAGAAAGAAAAAGAGAAATTGTTAGTTGCATAATGCATGAAGATAAACTCCTTCCTATAATACACAATAAGCTTAACCGTATTATTAATCAGTATAATGGTGCCCTTTCACTCTGACAAAGAACAAGGCATTTCATTTCTGTATACCTTAGGTCACAGGTCAACATGATTGCATCTCTCTTCTCCTCGTAAGATCCAATAAACCTCTGGTGTCAATTATCATTGGTCTCCTGCAAGATTATTTTTTGAATACTGTGCTAATTAACCTTTTCCTTTACAGACTCTACTAGGGCTGCAACTAAATATGTAGCAATGAATCTGCTATTTTATTTAAAATGTATCTGTTAATAGGTTGGTCTATAAAATGTCAAAAGTAGTAAGACAATTTCAGTTTCTTAATGTCTAAGTCAGTGGTTCCCAACCTTTTTTCCCAGGAGCCCCCCCAAATGACTCCTGTTGGAAGTTACGCCCCCCCCCCCCC